GGTGATGTTGATTGCGACGGTGGGAACGATGTCGACGACGGCGATCATGGTGATGGCGATGAAGCTGCTTGATGATGACGACAAAAAAAAACAGTGGTGACGCTGGCGATGATGATGACGATGCTACTGGCGATGGTTACGACGAAAATCCCGCGCGCAGAAATTTGACGAGGGCGACGGCTCCCGATGCCGACGTTGACAGCGGCGTTGATGACCCCGCCGATGATGATGATGATGATGATGATGATGATGACGACGACGAAGACGATGACGATGACGATGACGATGACGATGACGATGACGATGACGATGATGATGATGATGATGATGATGATGATGATGATGATGATGATGGTGTTGGTGACGGTGCTGGTGCTGGTGGGGGTGGTGAGGACCAGGACGAGGACGAGAACGATGATGATGATATGATGATGATGATGATGATGATGGTGTTGATGGTGATGGTGACGATGACGATGATGATGATGATGATGATGATGATGACGATGACGATGATGGTGGTATGGATGACATGACGATGACGATGATGACGCTAACGATGATGATAACAATTGTGCTGATGATGGTGATATCAAAATGCGCGCCCGCGCAAATTGAAACATCCGGACCGCTGTTGATTGAAAACCGTTAGGTTCCCGCATGCCTTGGAACACCTGTGCTGGGCTCGTGAGAATACCAATGGTTTCGTAACGATTTTGACATGCGCACGCGCGGCGGACGTGCGCGTGGCACGCATGGTATTATTTCACAGAGTTGATGGGTGACCGATGGTGGCTGAACGTTTCGACATGCGCGCGCCAGTGGACCGCATGGTATGATCTGACAGAGAATGTCTAAACACCGATGGCTTCCTTAAAAAATAAAGAGAACGCGCGCGCAGAATTCTCGCCACTGCTTTCGTTTGAGAAACCAATTGTTCTAGATAGTTTTTGACCAGCCACGATTTGAATTTGTTGATCGGCAACTGTTTGGGACTGACTTTGACGTGCGTGCGTTTCGGCACGCACATGTGCCCCGCATATGTCTTCTCGCGATGTACTATCAGCGAGACCACTCCTTAGATCAAAGCGTGTGCACCGCATGGTGTTATTTAACAGGGATGAGAGGGGGGTCGATACCGGCCTGGCTGGGATGGTATGGTTTCACACGTCGGATGAGCGATCGTGCAGACTCACATGTCAATTCTGAAGTCCCCAGAAAGGGATGGGGCGAAATCTGGTCTCGGGAGAAGGGCAGGGCCTATTCTTCATTTTTTCCGAAGCGGACAGAACCGATGACCTCTCGTGCTGTCCGCATTTGCGATGCTCAGGTGGGAAAACTGTTTTAAAAGTTTTAACGCCGGCTGCGCCTGCATCCAGAGTTGGCAGGGCCTATTTTTCATGAGAGAGGAGGATCTGCGGGTTGCCTTCTGCAGGAATGCAGGCTCTGGGCCCCACGGGGTGCACAGGAGTGCACTGGGCCCAGAGCCCCACGCGGCGGCGACGGCGACGAGCGGCGACGTGCGACCACGCAGGGCCCGTGGTGAGCGTTCGGCGCGGGGATATGCTTGTGGATGCCACGACAATGGACACCCTAACAGTCCTGTCATTGAATGTAAATGTGTTAGAATGTAGGAAAATGTTCTAAACATGTGTTAAACATGTTTCTTACATGTTTGAAACATGTTTAACACATGTTTTAGACACCTGGCAATTATTTGGCAAAATGCTTCCTCTCCATTGACCGTCCTCCACAAGGATATGCCCAGGGCTCCACGCGGCGGCGATGGTTGCAACGAGCGACCCTCGGGGCCACAGCGGAGCGCGCGTGGGGAATGCCAGGAGCCGCACGCGGCGGCGGCGGCAGCGAAGAAAGGCACCCTCACACCACGCTTCGTCGAAGGCCGACCTGAACCGCTCAGTGCACGCACTGTTTGAGGCATGTATTACATAGCACCACAGTTTCGAACACAAAACATTGTTTTAAGAAGCTCCGAAATCTTCGCCCGCCTTCGAGGTCAACATCCTGCCCCCATGCAGCTGGTATCCTGCGAACCATCTACAGCGCCTTCGGATCTCACAAGCGCCTTTCTCGTTCCCATCCTCCGCCTGCTTCCTGCTTCCTGATGGCCTGAGTGCTCCGAGCGCTGCCGCTACGCCTCCGCCTTCTTCTCCTCCTGCTCCATCACCCGTCCTGATGAGCATCTCCTCATCATGGCGCCACAGCGTGACGGCAGGCTGGGCCCGACAGTTCGCCAGAGACTTCCTCACAAACTCATGGCCATGACGCTTGAGAATCGCAACAGTTACACGGATGGAGGGCGGCCCGTTGTCAAAAGATAGCTCCCGCATTACATCCACACACGCTGTTCGTAACATGCTTCCGCTGCTAAACGGATGGCAAAATGCGGCTCTCGCCGCAGCGGCGCGCACACTCGTCTGGAAAGTCTCCAGCAGCACCAATGGTGGAGGTTGGCCCGTCTGTGAACTGTGTCTTGCGCATTAGCCACTAGCGCCAAGTACCTTCGCCGTGAAACCTTCCGACAGCTACAATGATGGAGGGCGGCTCCATTTCAAAATGAGCCTATCGCGTGAGACTCCTTAAAAACTCTAGCACCATAGGTACGAACTTGCACGACATGTCCTTACACACTGGGCTCTTGCTTGAGACTTCTCCAGATTTGATTACCAAGAGTACAGATTTGCGAAACAGTTCGACGGATGGATGGCGGTTCCTTTTCCAACGGTGACCTCGCTTGAACGGCATGGCCATGGGGCTCTCGTCCTTCACTGGGGGGGCTTCCGAAACGAACAAGTATGCCTACAGGGACTCCTGACGAGAGGACCTGGGACGCGAGGGTGCGTTGACGCATTGCTGATTCACCCTGGGTTTAGGTCGGGCCTGTCCCCCTACAGGGGAATTTTTGAAGAAAAATGAAACATATTAGAACAATACACCCAAAATGCACAAAAATAGTCAAAACATAATCACCAGACTATTTTTTACTATTTTTGAATATTCCCCCTGTAGAGGAACAGGCCCGGGGGGCGCTCCTCGGGTGCGCACGGCACCGCATTCCGAGTGCACCCAGGCAGAATAGCTAATCGACGCCTAACAACTACTGGCCTTAGCCAACAAAACACGCGTCGATTAACGAAACGACGGGGAAATGGACCGGTACACTGCGAGCGCCAGTGCCGAATGAGCAGGTGCAGAACTCCTCTATCGACTTGTCTTGGTGGGCGTTCTCTCAGTACCCAGTCCCCTTCCTCCTCCTCCTCTCCCCCACCCTCGTCGTCGCCGCCGTCATCCTAGACCTCCGATGTCTTGACATTTTCGTTGAGGGGACCCTGGAACCCCGGAACACTTCCCAGGGACGGGTTTCCGTCCCGGATCGTTCTCTGACAGTCGGGTCCCGGCGAGGGCCCCCAGAAGCCGAAAAAGACGAAAAACCTATGTTTTTCTGTTTTGTTCACTTTGCTGGACCATGACTCCAGATCCACCGTACTTTGGTTGATTCTCCGACCCCAAAAAGGCGGAAAATTCTGCCTCGGAAGAGGAAGGCTGATATGTCCGCCAGAGTATGGCGGAAGCAGCGACGGCAAAGTGGGGAGGAAATCGGCCTCCAAGGAGCCTCAAAAGTACGGCGGGAATTCCCGCACCCCTTGCGACATCGCCGAAAGCTGGGCGGATCTGGAGTCAGGGGAGCTCTGGGCATCATCGCCCCCAAACCTCCGACGTCTTGACACTTTCGATACGGGGTCCCTGGAGCTCTGCACCATGTCCCTGTGGACGCCCGAAATGGGTGCGAAGAAAACGGGTGCGATGCCCAACAGCAAGTGCTGTCGAAAACCGACAGCGGCCGCTGTTGGGCAGGCGGCCTTCTGTCTCAAATGTGCAACGGCCGAGGCGACGCCGACAATGAACCCTTTTCAGAATGAGCAAAAACCACTGTCTGACTTTGTGCCCATAGTTTCCGTGCCCATTCCGATCGTCCCGGCTCGTAGGGTCCGCCCCAGATCGGTGTCTGACGGCCCCCGGGGCCCGGGGAGGGCCTCGAAGACGCCGAACGCGTCGCAAAAAAACATCTGCTCTGCACTTCGCCACACGCTGGAGGTCTGGGCATCCTCTGGTAAACCCAAGGTACCATAAGGAACCGATACCGCTACTGGCAGAGGCAACCATAATCAAAAGCGTCAAAAACACACCCAAGAGGATGCCTGAGAGGATGGCGGCAACAAAAGCACCAAGAAGCATCGAAAAGTGCCAAATCAAAGGGACCCCTCCCGGGACGTGCTCTGGCCAGGATCTCGGAGCGAATCCAGCCGTGGCGGCGAGGGGCTACCAGGCCCAGGAGCGGCGAAGGCGAGGCATCCCTGTCCGCCACCGTGCCTCCGAGCACGGAGATGGCGTGCCCTCAGGTCCGGTGCCCGATCCCCTGAAGGGCCTCGATCCCCAGGTCCTGAGGAGCCCTTGAAGGGCCTGGACCCCACAGTCCAAGATCTCTTGAGGAGCCCCTTGAGGGGCCTCGATCTCTTGGGGCCTCGATCCCTTGGGGCCTCGCTCCCTCAGTCCTGAGGAGCCCCTGAGTGGCTCGATCTCTTGGGGCCTCGATCCCCCTGGGGGCCTCGATCCCCCTGGGGGCCTTGATCCCCTTGGGGCCTCGATGCCCCAGTCCCGAGGAGCCCTTTGAGGGGGCCCGGACCCCACATGCCGAGACCTCTGAGGCCTTGGCACATGCCCCCGTGGAGTTCCCACGGCCCAGGCACGGTGGCGGGAGGGGCCGAAGGCCAGGAGTGAAGGGAGCCCTGGGACGTGCAAACAGACACGAATGACAGGATTCCCCATATTTACCCATAGTTTCTGGGTCTTTGTCTTCCCCTCCCCACTTCCCATATCTTCCCGTGTCTTCAGGGGAATCGACGATCACTTGTGTGTGTGTGTGTTGTTGTTGCCTCCTGATACTCCTCCGAGCCCGCCCCCGCCGCCGCCGTGGAGGCCTCCCCGTCGGGGTCGAAATGGCTGCACAGGTGCAGCAGCCGCCTGAAGGGCAACGGTAGGGGGGGGACTGGCACAGGGGTGGGGGAACATCGACCTGGGGTCGGAGGTGGGGAAACCAAAAGGCACCGATACTGCTACTCCCTGGACCTCTCCCAAGGTGCAATCTGACCAGAATTCCGAAGCGAATCCAGCGGTGGCGACGAGGGCCTCCCAAGAGGCCCAAAAAGGGGAAACGGGCGAAGGGTAATGGTATGGGTACCTTTTCCACCGGTGAGGAGATGCATCGCCGATAGATCGGCGATGTGCCCCGATCGCAAACCCACGCGTTCCTGGGCTGGGTGGGGCTATCATACCGCTTTCTGCGATCAATGGACGATTGTCGGCGGCGCGCCCGTGGGGGAAGCGAGAGGGGGCGGGCCTGCTCAGAAGACTTGGAAGTCCCCCAGCCTTCTAGGAAACTTCTTAAGCCTTCCCCGAAGACGCAGAAGCCTTCTCGGAAAGCTGGAGGGCTTCTGAGAAGCCCCGCCGCCTTCTGATAAGGCACCCTGCTTCTCTCTTCCCAACCTCGCTCGCCGCCGAGATTGGGGATCGACACATCCCTCCTCACTCTCTTCTGAGGTAAACCGTGGGGGCGAGACGCTGGAGGTGTCAGCAACGGCATGAGACAGAACACATGCGAGGCATGCAAACACAACGCAAGGACAGAAAAAGAGGATTAGCGTGGCCAGGCGGCTGTCATCCTGCACATCCTCCACCTCCTCCTCCTCCTCCTCCTCCTCCGCCTCCTCCTCTGGTTCCTCTGGTTCCTACCAAGAGGTGGTCCGCTCAGCAAACCTACCTCTACCCCGACTGGGGATCCAAACTCCACGGCTAACCCAGGGCCCGCCAGGGAAGGAAAAGAAGACCTGGCGCAGGCGAGGGCCCTGGGAGTTTCAACGCAAACAATTCAAACCCTGCTCACCGCAGCCCTCGAGACAGGAAACGGGGACCCGCCCCAGCGGGCGCCTGTCTGGGGATCACGCCCCGCCCGCAGACGTTCGAGGGCGCGGCGAGAAAGTCGCGCCGCGTCGCGGCTCTTGCGAGACAGAGGGAGGCAAGGATCGGCAAGGAGCTTAGCCTGACGACTCCCATGCGCCCCACATGTCCGACAAAAAACGAGACACCCACCCATCCCAGAGGACTCCCGACCAGACCCGTCCCCACCCCGAGTCACCCAGAGCCTATGGGATGGGTGGGACCTGGCGACCAGCCAAGGGAGTCCTGGACAGGGGCTCGCGACGACCCTGGCCCTGGAAGCCCTGCGGATCCCACAGACGGCACAGCCCCAGGCCCGCCCGAGCCTCGCCAGAACTTGGCCCCTGTCGGGCCTGACCAGAGCCAGCTCCCCAGGATCGGGACCCCTGGGCCCAGGGAGGGCCCCGCGGTCGGGCCACCCAAGGTCCGCGAGCCTTTTGAGGACCCCCCCGTGGTGGCCGCACCAGGCCACAGTTTTCTCCGTGGCGGCCTCAGCGCGGCGGCTCAGCTCCTGGAGCCGCGCCTGCCCAGGATGGAGCCGGGCACCGTCCTTGGCCCGCAGGTCGACCTCCCTGTTGCCAGCGAAGGCCTGCCAGGACGTGCTCGACGCGCTCGCCCTGGCCCACGAGGAGCGCGAGCGCAGCCACCTCAGCGTGAGGAACTTCGGGCCAAGGTCGTCCAGCAGCCTCCACACGCGCCCCCAAAGATCGGCGTACTTGTGCCCAGGGCCACAGCAATGCTCCTTGCCAGCCGCCAGGTCGTCCTTGAGCCCCCTGCAATCCGTGTAGACCGTGATGGGTGAAGGGCCAACTTCCTCCAAGACGCGGCACAGCGCGTAGAGCTCCGCGCAGCCGATCTCCTGGATCCACCCAGGCGTGAGGCCGAAGAGGCCGCCGACAACGTTCCCGACGTCACCCACCATCACGGCAGCCCAGCCCGTACGAGTCAGGCACAGGATGTCAGGGTACATCGCAGACCCATCGACGCAGATGACGCCGTATAGGAAGCCCTGCCTGGCGCGCCCTGCGCGGTGGCAGAGCTCGTCCATGCCTGGAGGCGGGGCCTGATCCAGCCCAAGGCTCAGGAGCCCTCTCACCATGCCCAGGTCGTCTTGAGGCGCCATCCTGCCTGCGTCGGCGACCTCCTGGAAGCCCAAGTCGCGCGCCCAACAGGAGATGGCAGGGCGCATGAAGAGCCGATGGTGTGCCGTGCCTGGAGCCTCTCCGCACCACTGGCACAGCGGGCTGATCTCAGCCCTTTCCTCATACAAGTCGCTCTGCGTGACGAGCCCTCCCGCCATGTGCGCCTCCACCAGCGCCGCCTCCTGCGTCTTGCCTGCTCGCCGCAAGCCCGCCAGCGCCGCCTTGAACGGCCCCGGGTCAGGCGGGCGGCCCTTGAGGTGCTCGAACCCGCTGTGGCGCGCGACCTTCAGCATGAGGTAACGATGGACCCCTCGCTCGACGAGGCTGGCCACCATCCGCGGGCTGAGAACCTGCAGGTCGATGATCTGCCCCCGGTCGTCCCTCCAGCGATGCCAGTCCATCATCTCCCAACCAATGCGCTCCAGCGAGAGGCAGACCGCCCCCCCTGGCCCCGTGACCTCGCCCCAGTCGCCCGGCCTGCGCTCCGGCACCTTCTTGAAAACCGCTGGCGGCCGCGCGCGCATGAAGATGGCGCGAGCCCAGGCCCTCGACGGTAGGGCGTGCGCCGCAAAGGCTGGGTCGTGACGCCAGTCCTTGCCTTCCTGCAGGGCAAAGAGGACTGTCCTGGACTTCTGGCCGACCTCGCCCGAGATGGCCCTGCCATTGATCGCTCTGGCGCGCTGCAGGGCATTGGTGGGCGTACCGCTGACCCTCGCGCCATGGAGGATGGACGCTAATCCCCCGTCCTGAAGACCTTGGAGAGTCGCTTGGCCCCAGCCTTGCGGAGCGCCCTATACTGCACCGCCCTCTGGCTCAGGCGGTTGATCCCCTGACGCAGCACCTTCCAGGAGGCCGACTTCGACATGGTGAAGTCCACGCCCAGGTTCTTCGTGGCCTTCTCGCGCGTGAACTTCCAACGCTTGAGCCTGGAGACGGCCCGCTTGGCGATCTCAGAGTCGGTGCGCAGCACCTGGCCCTTCGTCGAAGAGATGGCGAAGCCAATGTCCTCCAAGTCCAAGCAGAGGGCGCGGGTGGCGCCGACCAAGATGTGCTCGACCTGCGCGCGCTTGGCGTAGACTGCCAGCGTAATGTCGTCGACCACCAAATACGGGCGCACCATCTGCCAGGACGCCAGCAGCGCGTCGATGGGGCTTGACCAGCACCACTCGAAGTAGCGTCGCGGCGAATGAACAGCCCGCCAGCAAGGACAGGGAGACCTGGAACGCCTCCGTCTTCCAACGATCCAAGCAGAGGCGTCTCCTGCCCCCGTAGAGCCGAAGGAGGATCTTGATCCTCCGCAGCGGGAAGCCCTCCCACACCGCGGCGTGGACCATCCCTCGATGAGACGCCCTTTCGTAGGCCTTACTCAAGTCCAGGAGCGATGACGCGGCCTCCAAGTTCAAAGCCTTGGCGCGGTCCGCGTCGAAGCTCTGCAGCCGAACCGCGTCCTCGCAGGAGCGCCCTGCCCCGCCGAAGAAGTAGGGCCTGTCCCTGGCGGCCTCCCAGCGCTTCGCCTCGTCGTGTCTGATCTTCCCCAACAATCGGATCAATGAGGCGATCAGGCCGATGGGCCGCCAGCCCCCGCCGGCCTTGGCCAGGAAGAAGATGAAGACTTCGGCCACCTGCGACGGGAACTCCGTCCTCAGCTCGACGAGGTGGAGCAGCAGGCTCAGGGCGAGGACGCCGTGGTCCGAGAGCCAGCCGAAGTGGTGCGGCTTGAGGCTGTCCACCCCCATCGCCGTTGCGGCCTTGAAAGTCCTCGCCGCCGCTCGGATGGCGTCGGGCGAGGGCGGGCCTGGGGCGTCATCCAGAAGCTCGTCAGGGAGCGCCGCCTCCAGGTCGAACTCCTCAAGCGGGTGCCGCCACACCTGCTGGTATTCCGTCTTCAGCGCCTCCAGAGTGCCGGCAATGCCCGCGGGTTGCCCGCTGGTCTCCACGTCAGCGGTCCACCCCCGAGGAGCGCGGCAGAAGCCGTGGGCGGCTCCTGCGCCTCCACGCACCGCCTCCTGGGCCCAGGCTCTCCAGGCCTTGGCGCGGCCCTTGGCATCCCTGAAGTCGAACGCTTTGGCGGCCTGCCTAGCGTAGCCCTCCAGCGACCTCAGCTGGCAGTAGGTCATGGCGCCCGTCGCGCGCAACTGGCGCTCGAGGTCCTTCTGCCTGCTCGCCTTCTGGGCCTCGTTCAGGCCGATGTCGCCGACCAAGTCCTGCGCGGCCAGCCTGCCGAGCTTGGCCTGCAGCCTTGCCAGCGCGGCCAGCTCCCTCGGGACGAGGTGCGGCGCCCGCAGGCGGCGCCTGCTGGCCAGCGCTTCCCAGAGTAGCGCCGCGATCCTGCGCCAGGCTCGCGCCTGCGGGGAGCCTCTGGCGTAGGCCCTGCGGCAGCTGGCGCTGATGGTGCCCTCCTGGAAGCGGGCTGGCTCTCCTCGTCCCGCATGCTTCCGCAGGTCCTCCTGCTCCATGTCGAAGCAGCCGCGCAAGTCCTCCTCGAGCAGCGCCGCAAAGCTGGCGTAGAGCTCGTCCAGCGTCCGAGGCGGCGCGCCTAGGCTGCCCGGCGGCCTCCCCAGCGGCCTTCCCAGCGGCCCCGCGGGCGAGGTATTTAAGGTTACGTAAATACCTCTGGTTCCTGGGCTGCCCGGCTGCCCGGCTGGCGGCCCGGCTGGTGGCCCCCGCGGCTCCTCGCCCAGCGGCCTTCGGCCCTCGGCCTGGGGGTCCTCACGGGGCCCCAGCGACTGTGATTGCCTCGCCCCAGCGCCCTCGCGCCAGGACAGATTTCCGCCAGCCGCTGGGCTCCTCGCGCCGTCCCCAGGGGGCAAGAGGACCACCTCCTCGTGTGTCGAGGGGGGCGCGGCCTCCCCGACCTGCTCGACCTCGGCAGCTCCCTCACCCGCAGCGTCGCATGGCTGCAGCTGGTCCTCCCCGCCTGCCTGTCCAGCATGCCCGAACACACTCTCCGTCCTGGCGGACGGGGGCGAGTCCAGCGCGTCGCCCTGCAGGGAGTGGACCACCATCGCCCAGTCCTCGTCGTAGCACCCACGCACTTCCCGCAGCGCCCCGGCCGAAGCCGACGGTGACATCATGATGGGCGGCCCCAGGATGCTCGGCCGCGCCTCCAGGCCCTCGGCGCAGGCAAGCACGATGCCACTAGCCTCCGAGGCGCTCTGTCCAGCAGGGCAATTTATCGCAGGCTGCCCCCAACTGCCTAAACCACATCGTGGATCCTGGGGGGCCGCTCCCAACGGGACTGGCCCCCCAGGATCGCGCCTCTCGCCACCTTCCAGGTCGAACGCCCCGTCCGTGCCCGCAGCGCCCGCGTCGGCAGCGAGGCCAGCCACGCCAGCGCCTTCGCCAGCCGAACCAGCTGGGCCCTCGGCCCGCACGGCCGCGCACGCCTCGCCCAGGTCCAGACCGCCATGGAGTGGACGACGTGCTGCCCCTGGCTCGGGGAGGGGCTCAAGGTGCTCAATGAGCTGCTCCTCAGCAATCCTCCGAACACCGTCGCCACCCCGCATCCTCAAGTCCTCCACGTTCGCGTCGACCCCCGACGGGCCTCGGCAGCCATCTGCGCTTGGCCTGCAGCCTTGCCAGCCACTCCGCCTCCTCCTCCTCCTCCTCCTCCTCCTCCTCCTCCACCTCCTCCTCCTCCTCCACCTGACCTGAGCCTCCATCTTCTCCGCCTGGGACGTCAGCGGCCTGCGGCGAGACAGGACTTGAGCACGGCAGCGCTCCTCCCCCCTTTATGCTTACGCTGCTCCCACCCCGCACTTAGGGGCCACATCCCAGAAATAATCTCGAGCACCCAGCAGAGTATCGAATCAGTGTCTGCCCGACACGCTAGCGAAATGTCGGACGGGTATCGCCCCCCAGGGCCCGACACGCGAAAACCCTCCATGTTCGGCACTTTCTTGGTGCTCGAACTTCCTTCTGGTGATCCAGGCTCAAGCAGGTTGGAATATGACGCGCAAGAGTGACCCTGGGCAAGAGTGACCTTTGGCGCGCGACTTTCGGCGGCCACGGGGGGACCAAACACAAGCGCGCAAGACGCTGCTATCGCACCGCTTTTGGCGAACGGGGGATCCCGTTGGGCCCGCACTGAAGGGCACTCCAGCGAACGGCCACTCTTACTTGCAGTCGGGGGGGGGAGGACGAGGAGGAGGACGATGAGGAGGAAGAGGAGGAGGAGGAGGAAGAGGAGGAGGAGGAGGAGGAGGGGGAGGAGGCGGAGGAGGCGGAGGCGGAGGCGGAGGAGCAGGAGGAGGAGGAGGCGGAGGCGGAGGCGGAGGCGGAGGAGGATGCCGTTGCCCCAGGCCGCCGCTCGGCGGCCCGGCGCTCCGCGCCCCGGCGCCCCGGCCGCGCGGCGTGGCGGAGGTCGAGGGGCGGCGGCGGGGCGCCAGCGCCGCCTGCCCGGGAGGGGGGCGGGGGCGGGGCGCCTGCCCAGGACAGGGGGAGAGATAACCACAGATAGTGCATCCTAGGACGTGATTTTCGGATGAAAATCCGTTTTCGGAAGATTCTGCGAGGTTCGTGCGCGCGCATGCCATTCATATATATATATATATATATATATATATATATATATATACATACACATATATATATATATACATATATATATATATATGGCAAGGAAACTCTACGAGGCCCCGGCGGTAGCCACGGTTTACCGCCGGCTCCCAGTTGGCTCGAAACATCTCGACGGAAGGGGGGACAGGCCGCGACGGCCAACACTTTTTTACGTCAGCGGCGAGGCAGAGGTGCTGCTCCAGCGGGCGGCGATCCGGGGCGGCCGGTGCGCGAATGGGCTTCCACGGGTTTTGCTGTGAAAGTTTGGGCCCGTGGATCTGGTCGGCCTCACGCTGTGTGAGCCGAGATCCTCGATCTGCAGAGGGTGCTCAAAGCACGTGCGCTCGAGCCCTGCTGACCAGGTCGCCTGCCAAGGGGAGGGAGGGACCCTCAGATCTGGGCGGTGCAATTTTTGCTCGCAACGGGCGTTTTCGCCAGGCTTCGGGCCCTGGGGAACCTCACAGATCGACCCGGCTCGAAGAATGACGCAGAGAGAGATGTGGTCGAGGGTTCCAGTCGTGATCTCTCTCGATGCTTCAATGATTTCGCAACGTCGGATCTCAGGGGACGTCGAGGGGACCCAGACACCGCGCCTCGCGTGTCGCGTATCGCGGGGCGCGGGCGCGAAGCTAGGCGACCTACATACACGTCGTTCATTTCTAATCGTGCTCATTTCTGATTCTGCTCGTTTCTAATTGTTCCTGGCCCCCTAGTGGCCAGGAAGAGACCCAGGATAGAAGAATTAAAAATGAAAGGATCTTGGCCCCCAAAAAACCCAAGAACTTTCGAAGAATTAGACATGAACAGCGTGCAGACATCCGATGTCTTGAGCTTCTCGATCAGGGGCCCCCGGGGCCGGTTTTGTGCCCTGAGTTCGTTTGGTTGACGGTCCCAGGGCCCGGCACCCCAGAGGCCGAGCACAGAGAGAAGCCTCCGCCTCGAGCCTCTCGAGACGCTGGACGCCGAAGGGCAAGCCTTGGCCCAAGCATAAACTTTCGGAGAGCCGCGCGGATCTCCTGGATCGGCGCTGGAGCCCCCTGGCGGCGCCTCTGGCGCCACCCCTGGCGCGCGGCCCAGCGCCGATCCCACAAGTCCGCGCGGACCTCCGAAAGCCCACAAATGGACGGGCGAGAAGCCCAAACCTCCAACGCAGGGAGCAGAAACAAGGCGGAGGCGTTTCGTCGCTGCCGGCGTCTGGAGGCCCTCGCCGGGCCCGGGAACCGCCAGGTAACGATATGGGCAGGAGACCCGAACTTCCAGCGCAGAGGAGCAGGACAAAAACAAGGCGGAGGCTTTTTTGACGTGGCCCAAGTCCGAGGGCCCTCGCTGGGCCCCCAGAACCGCCAGAAAACGATACGCGGAGGACCCGAACCTCCAACGCAGACGTACCCGGCCCCTTCTCCGCGCGAGTCGGGTATTCATACGAACGCGCCAGATATGCTGCCCGTCCTCGCCCTCTCGCCCGTTCTCGCCCTCTCGCCCATCCTCGCCGTCCACCGTGCCTCCCAGGAGCCCACGAACGTGGCGAGAGTTGCGTTGTGGATGCCATGACAAGGGACACTCTAACAATCCGATCACTGAATTAAAGATGTGTTTAAACTGTGTGAAACATGTTCTAAAAACGTTTCAAACACGTTTTTGACATATTCAAAGCATGTTTGAAACATCTTTTAGACATCTGGAAAGTATTTGGCAGCATGCTTCCTCTCCATTAGTCGACTTCCACAACAGTTGCGCAGCTCGCAGCCTCCCAGGGAGCCGCGAGGTCTCGGCTGGGCCCGCGTGGCCCCCGACCCCGCTGGACCTCCCAGAAGCCCCCGAACGCGGCGACAGCTGCGCAGCTCGCAGCCTCCCAGGGAGCAGCGCAGGAGGAGGCAGGACGAGGGTGGAGGACAGGAGGAGTGGATACCACAATGCTGTGTTCAAAACGAGAACCCAACACAGGAAGGTTGGGAGAAAAAGAATGCGGAGCCTTCTCGTCGTCATCGGCGTCTGGAGGCCCTCGCTGGGCCCCAGAACCGTCAGACAACGACCAGGGCGACGGGCAGGAGGCCCAAACCTCCAGCGCACTGAAACAATGGCCCCGACAACACACCCTAATAGCAGCAAGGGTAATGAGGCGGGTCGAGGCGTAGTGAAGCCGGGCCAGCGCGGAAAACATCAAAACAAAGGAGATCCGGAGGGGCGGCGGCGCCACGGGAGTGAGTTGTTTTCGGTCGTCTTCGTTGTTTCTCGGCGGTCCTCCAGCTTCGGGCTGCTGTCCAACAGCCGCGCCTCGCCGAAGAGCGCCCGGGGGTGCCCGCGTGGTCCCGAATGGCCGCCGGAGGCCCGAGTTGTGGGCCAAAGGCTCGACGACGAGGATGACTGCGGGGTGGTGATGGGCGCCGACCGCACGCAGCCCAGCAAATGTCTGAGGCGTTCTTTCCCTCTGCCATAGCCTGGCGCTGGGGAGGGCATGGTGCCACCAAGGGCACGCGGTGCCAGGCTTCTCGATTGCCACCTCCCATGTTGACAGTACAGTCGGGGCGTTGACCTAAGGAACCCCAAATAAGGAACGAGGCCCCTTTTTCCCATAAGTTCAACCTCGATTTCCCGTGGAAAACCTCAGGAAAGCCCGCGGCAAACTTTGAAACATTCAAGGAACACCGAGCCCCTCCCCAACGAAAAGGGTTCCTTCTTCAGCGCCCCGACTGTAGGTCGTTCGCGCGCCACCACCGTCTGCGGCCCGAGCGGGCTGAAGAGCCCACTGGCGACACTGGACCCGTCCCACCGCTATAGCTGTTGTTGCACCTTGAGGTCGCCACGTCAAGACAAACGGGCGAGGGCGGCAGCTTTTGCAAAGGCACGGGCTCCTCGGAAGGGGCCACACCCCCTCGAAGGGCATGCGCCCCGCCTCCTTTTGGGAAGCGGAGTAGGGGGGTGGGGGGGGGGGCGGAGGTGGGCGGATTGGGGGCACGCCCGATGCTGGAGGCTACGTCTCGTTTTCGGGCGACCCAGCAGCCGTCCTTCGCTGCGCCACTGCATGCTGCATTGCTCCTTATGTGCCCACTGCCGCGCCCCACGGCGCGCTGCCGCTCCCTACGGCGCGCTGCTCCTTGCGTGTGCCCAGACTCCTCAGATCTTAGAGGCCCAGGGTCTGGAGGCCTTCTGCATCTGCCCTAGCTGAGACCCAGATACCCTAGGTCTCATGCCTTAGATGCAGAGGGCCTCACCCACCTGGTCTGCTCGAGGCCCGGACGCTGTCCGCAGCGGTGGCCGCATCGCACCGCGCCGCACCGCACACGGCGCGCTGCCTGCCGCGGTCCCTCGCCTCGGCCGTGGCCTCGTCCCGGTGGTGCTCCGGTCGGCCCTGGGTCCCCCCCAGACGTCGTGCCACGCCGGCGCTGGCGGCTCGGGTCGGGGGCCGCCGGGCTCTGGCGGGGCTTCCAGCGGAGCTCCAGGGTGTGCTGCAGGGGAGGCCCCACCTCCACACCGCAAGAGGGGAGGAACGAGAAGGGGGGGGGGACAGGGGGGAGGTGGGCTGCGGCGTCGGGGGGGTCCACAGGGCTCAGGGACGTGCCTGAAGTTCTGCAATATGTCGGCATGCTCCAAGAGACTTGAAATCCGCCCTCAGGCGCTTCTTGAGTGGCTGCATGGTGCCCCCCAGGACATTTGGCATGAGCATTGCGGATGCCACGACAATGCACACCCTAACAGTCCCATCATTGAATCTAAGATGCCTTTAACATGCCGGAAAAATGTTCTAAACATGATTTAATGACGTTTATATATATATACAACATGTTTAACACATGTTTTAGACATCTGGAAATTCTTTGGCAACATGCTTCCTCTCCATTGATCGTCCTCCACAACATTAGCATTAGCACTCAGACACCCCCTCTTCGGGGGCGAGGTGAAACCAGCCCGCCCGCTGCAACGACCGTCGCTGCAGCGAGCCGCAGCCGCTGGGAAACGACTTGGGGCAGGAGGTGCGCGGCAAAGGCCAAGAACGCGCAGGCGCCAGCGGGCTTCCACCCCAGCACGCCGACGGGAGGCGAGGGCAGCGGAGGCACTGGACCAAGAGGAGCGGGAGCAGTTGCGGGAGCGCGCGTGCCCGTCGACGGGGCGGGACAGGTCAGCGAGGCCCATGTCAAAGTGGCGCGCGAGGCGCTGATCGGGACCACCGAAGTGATGAAGGCCGACCCCACCGCCCCGATCATGTCCACAACGACGGACTCGAACAACGACGGCAGTACCATCGCGACCGTCAACCGAGCTTGGGAATTCTGCACAGTCGTCCAGGCTGGGGGTCGACGGGACGGACAACCTCTGCCTGAAGCCTGTCCCGAAGGAGTTGGGCCAAGAGGTCACGGACCAAGTCGGCAAGAGGATCGTGATGGTCGCGAAGCTTGCAGCGTCGATTCTGTCTGCATCCGAGCTCGAGTCCATGCATTCAGTGGGACTCCCTCCCAGGCCTTAGTAAGACCGCTGGAAAAATGTCCTGGCTCCTCCGCCTGCGGGAGTGGAACCAGAGTGCCGTTCCTTTGGTGGCAATCATGAGAGCCTCCCATGCCATCTTCTTGGCTCTTGCTAATTGACGCTGGACGAAGCTAAATCGACGCTAATCTACACGATCATCGACGCTAAATCGGCGCTATCAAGTCGACTACAAGACGCAACTCGACGCTAGCGCACTTTAACAACAACACTACGAAAGTATACAAGCTCCCATGATTTGCTGCCGAACCTTCCCGTGGCGTCAGACAGCACTCAGATCATTGACTTGGGCCAGCAGCACCCAGGAAGGCAGGCCGGCGAGAGGCGGAGGACCCCAGACTTCGAGTGCTCGGTACCAGCGCTGTGTTGTGCCTTGTCTGGGAGAGGGCGGCTTTCAGCTCGACACCGTTGTAGCTGGGCATTCGGAGCACTCCTCCTCCTCCTCCTCCTCCTCCTCCTCCTCATCATCATCATCCTCCTCCTCCTCCTCATCTTCATCCTCCTCCTCATCATCATCATCATCATATTCCTCCTCATCATCAGCAGCATCAGCATCATAATCATCATCATCAGCAGCAGCATCATCATCAGCAGCAGCATCAGCATCATCATCAGCATCATCATCAGCAGCATCATCAGCATCATCAGCATCGTCATCATCATCATCAGCATCATCATCATCATCATCAGCAGCAGCATCATCATCATCATCATCATCATCATCATCATCAGCATCAGCATCAGCATCAGCATCAGCATCAGCATCAGCATCAGCATCAGCATCAGCATCAGCATCAGCATCAGCATCATCATCATCATCATCATCATCATCATCATCATCATCATCATCATCATCATCATCATCATCATCATCATCCCTTATCCTCCATCCCTTTTTATACATGTGATACTTCTCCCTGTTGCACCTCCAGACGTGTCTTTAGGGCGGGCTGGGCGTTGCGCCGCAGATTTGCTCACCACTTCTGATCCACGAGCTCGAAGTCTGCAACACTTACACGGATGTAGGTGGGTAGTTCTCAAAATGGGGCGTTCACGTTAGCGCCGCGCACATTCGTATTAAAAGCTGGCGCCAGCTACAAGGAAGGAGTGAAGTCGTTTCCAGAGTGGGCCCTCACTTTAGCGCTGCCCGCATTCGTCTTTAAGGCTTGGGACAGCTACAAAGACTGAGGTCGGTGCCATTTCCAGAATGGGGCTCCCGCCTCGGCGAAGCGCACATTCTGCTTAACAGCTTGCAGCGTTGAAACAGCACGGAGAACGAATCATTTTCAAAAAAGGCTCTCACTTGAGACTTCCTTGCGCTGAACAGCCAGAACATTCGGCAAATGTAGCAGCTGCGTAGAGGGCGGCTCCTTTCCACAGCGAGGCTCTCGCTCGAGAATTCCTCAAAGCTCACAGCCAGGGCTACCACTTTGTGCAACAATTCTACGGATGGGGGCGGTCCTTTCAAAATGGGGGTGTCGCTGGACACCTCGCTCAACTGTGTAGAGCACAGTGCCGCATTGCTTGAGCAGGGACAGGCCGTCCCGGCATTCCTATAGGCCTACCACGACATGATCTGAGAACCCAAAACGTTTTAAGAACAACAGCAATGTTCTTGGAACATAAACCCCATGTGCTAAAATAAGTCAGTCCCAGCTAGAAATGTTCTAAGAACATTTCGTGCAAACCACCAAAGGTTCTTAGAACATTGTTTGGTAGCCCTAGAGACGAGCCAGGACGCTTCGGCACTGCTTGAATTGCTGAGAACGCGATAAGAAGATGCAATGCAGTTGCTCCTCAAAAGCGGGATCTCTCGTCTGGTTGGCAAGCCCAAAGCGTGCTGGTCATTCAAGGGAGGCGCTTCATTGTAGTGACAAGGAAGGCCTGCAGGGACAGATGAGAAGGAGACTTGAGACGGGAGGTGTGCTGCAGCATCGCTGCTGCATCTCGGGTTTGCCCTCCTCCTCCTCCTCTGCCTCCTCCTCCTCCTCCTCCTCCTCCTCCTCCTCCTCCTCCCCCTCCTCCTCCCGGACCACTCCAGAGACCACCAAGAGATCCCCCGAAAGCAACCGAGCGCATCCACAGACAGACGAACCTCCCAGAGGCTTTTCGCCATATTCCCTCCCCCCCCGTTCCGCCCCGTGCGGCTGGGAGGGCTGCCACGGAGCTTCGGCCTCAAGCTGACATCCTGCCGCAGCAGCCTGCCGGCCCGGACCTCGGTCGCCCCGTGCTCTGCCCAGTTCGCGGGCTGGTGCCCGCAGGAGGGGCCGCGGGCCTGGTGCCCCAAGGTCGGCGGCGTGCCCGGGGGGGGCCTTCTCGGAAGGCGACGGGGCTTCTCCGGAGCACCCTGGCTTTCTGAGAAGCCCCCTGCAGCTTCGGGGAAGGCTTAGAGAGCCTCTCAGAAGGCGGGAGACCCGCCGAGCATGCCGAGGAGAAGGTCGGCGGAGTGCCCAGGGGGGAGGCCTTCTCGAAAGGCGGCGGGGCTTCTCCCGAGCACCATGGCCTTCTGAGAAGCCCCCTGTGGCCTCGGAGAAGGCTTAGATTGGGCGTCGCTCAATGGGTGGGTGGGGGGGGGGGGCGCTCCTGTGGGTGGGGAGAATGGTGCACTTCTCAGGCCCTAGAGGCCCCCCCTCTTTGGGCCTCAGAGGCTCCCCTTGGGGGGCCTACATGGCCCCTGCAGGGGCCACGTAGAGGGCTGGCTCGCGCTCGCTGCCCCTCCATTCCGTCGCCCCCCCCATGGCGCGACGCGCCAAATCGAGCGCCTCTCAGAAGGCCAGGGCCCCTGTGAGCATGCCGAGGAAGCTCGGCCCCTCTGCCTCGCCCTCTGCCCCCCCCCCCCGCCCTCCAGGATTCAGAAACCCGCTGCTCCGTCGCCACCGCCGTCGCTGCCGCCGTCGCGTCGCCGCCGTCATCACGCCCCCGCCTTCCCCCGAGTCCGTCGCCGCCCCCCCTTTCCTTGGGCCCTCGTCCTCAGGCACGCCAGCCAGAGTGAAAGGCACCAGCCCATCCACGGCGAAATTAAACGACGTTGTCATTGCGTCGAAGGGAAGCCCCTTCCCTTTGATCCCTTCCCCGCGGAGGGGGGGGCGGAGGGGCGGGGGGGTCCGGGGGGGGGCTCCCGGGGTGGGGTCCTGGGGGTGGTCCTGGGTCAGAGTACCACCCCCTCCTGGGGCCCATGGCCCGCCCTCTCCCTCCCCCTTTCCGTAGGGGGCCGAGGCCTCCCAGGGTCGGCGGCACCAGCCGCAAGGCCTTAGCAGTACGTGTGAATAGTGTTCTCCTTCGTCAGGACGATCTCCCGCCCCCTCTCTGCGTGCCACCTTTCTACGCACGGGGTTTCATAAACGCGTCTTATGTGTTTCTTTTTACAATCCACTTGTTCTCGGTGTTTCAAAATGGTGCTCCCGCTGTAGCGTGGGCCTCAATCTCGGATCGGCGCGTTGCTCCCATCGTTCAGAATGGCGCTCTCGCCCCAGCGCGGGCCACTTTTCTGGATCCGATTCTTGTTTCATTGTGGTTCCCCCATCATTTCCCCTCTTCCGCCTTCCACTGGTCCTCCTGTTCATCCCGCTCCTTCCATTTTAGTTCCCGCTTCTGCTGTTCGTCTCGCCCCAGCGCGGGCCACTTTTCTGAATCCGAATACCTATTCATCGTTGTCGCCCTTCTCATTTCCCCTCCTCCGCCTTCCCCTGGTACTCGTTTCCCTCCCGATCCTTCCACTTTAGCTCCTGCTGCTGCTGTTCGTCCTCATCCTGTTCATTTCCGTGCGCGGAGCTCCATTTTTCCGATTGCGCATAACACAAGGTGGTC